TTTAAAGAGTTCTTTGTATATATTGCATAATAGTCCTTTATCAGTGTGCCTTTTGCTCCCAGTTTGGGGCTTGTCTTCTCATTTTCTTGACTCTTGCTTTGGCAGAGGATAAGTTTAATTTTACTGAAGTTTAGCCTGTCAGTTATTTCATGGATCATGCTTTGTCTGTATTGATTCTTTGCAGTTTTTAAAGCTTCATTTATCTGCTATTTCAGGACCAATTTATCAGTATTTAATCCCACTTTTTCTATTATGGTTTTTGCTTTAAATTCTATGTAGGTGAGACAAACAGCTGTCATAGCTAGTTTTATTTATTTTTGCCTTGTAAAAACTTGTTATATCATGACTAGAATTTTTCCATTTTTATTGCTAGCTAGTTATTGTCAACTTAAATATTTTTGTATATTTATCTTAAAACCAGCTATGTTACCGGATTCCCTGGATAATTAGAATCTTTTTTTTTTTTTTCTTTTTTAATTTTATAGATTTCATTTGAGTCTAGCAGTAAAGGCAAGAGAATTTCTCTCTCAACATTTATACCAGTCATTTCATTTTACTGGTATGCTGAATTTGTTGAATTATAGTCATTGCAGACTCATGTTTTTGTCATAGTTTTAATGAAATTGGCTTTAGAATGATTTTATTGGTTTTTGGTAAATTACTCTTATCATTTATATTTTTTTATTTGAGAATTTTTTGTTTTTATTTTTTGAGTACTCGTGAACTATCACACTTTTCAAGACGTGATTTGATCATACCTAGTCTATTAGTGTGATCATGTAGTATTTTCTTTTTTCAGTTTGTTAATAGAAATAATTTCTTTTATAGATTTCCCAGTATTGAACCACCCCTGCACTTCTACAATTAATTCTACTTGATCAAAGTGTATACATTGCAGGATTCAAGTGTGATGTGTTTCTTCAGGGTCAAATTTTCATAAAGTAGTTTGGGAGGAAATCATTTCCTCTATATTTTGAAATTGGCTGTAGATCTGCGTAAGATACATCTGTCTTATGAATGGACCATAATTGAACTGTTTTCCTATGGCTGGATATTATCTCTTTTCACCATTATAAGTAGTCTTGTTGACAACGTCCTTGTACATCTTTGCAGCTATATAAATTTGTGGAGTTAAATTTCAGGGTCAAGAGATGTTTGCATTTTTAATTTTGATAAGAACTACTAAGTTGTCCTTCAGAGAAATAATTTCATGTCCAATAGTAGCATGAGACTACTCTTTCTTTACACACTTTTAGCATTGTATATAGTAGTCTGTAATTGTTATTTGATGAGCAAAATGTTCCATTTTAATGTGCTTCCTTGATTTACTAATGAAGTTGAATATCTAATTATATTATCTGTACTGAGTTCTATTAATGGCCATGCTTATTTTTCCATTAGATTGTCTATTGTTAGTGATAGAGTGGATTTTTCTATATTAAGGATAATTTTTAATGCCTTATTTTGCAAATATAGACTCTCAGTTAATCATTTGTGAAAATGTTAACTTTTGATTGATTCCCCAGAACTGTCGTTCATGTCAACAACTTTTTATTAGTACAATAACTATGTCAGTAATGAAATAATTTGGAGAATATACATCTAAGTCTTTGTTAGGTTTTCTCCAATTCTGGAAGGGCAGTCTAAGTCTTCGATAGGCGCATTTGCTTATTGTTCTGGAGAGGTCTTGTATTTTAAAAAAAAAAATAGCAATTTTGCTAGAAAGTAAGTTTTATGAATAGGCTATGTTAATATAGCTATCAGAACTTAATAACTACTCAGATTTCCTAGGAAGTTAACTTTTCCAGTTGTTGTTGATATACCTATTAATGTTTTATGCCACTCTTCATCTTATATTCAACATTCAGATATATTTGTTTTTAGATTTTTCTTTTAAAATATTAATTTTTTCCAAAAGCAAAATAAATTATAATTTTACTTTAAAGTTGCAGGTTAGATAATTTTAAGGAGAAGGAGTATAACATTTATCAGGTAGATCATTTTTATTCAAAATTGACTCTATAAGTGAATTTTGCATATTAGTTAAGACATTAGTACAGAATTTATATTATTAAATGATTGCTTCTATTGATACAGAGAGTTGGAGTTTTGCTCCTTAATAAGACTTTAGTTTGGTCTGAGGCAGTATTGTAATGAACTCATTACCTGTTATCTTGGGCATGTTACCTCACTTTCTTGTGCTACATTTTTTATAAAGTAGTGATAATAAATAGTACTTACCTCATATGGTTATTAAAAGAATTAACTGATCATCGATGCAAAGCAGTTAGCACAGGGCTTAATATACAGTAGTTGATGAGGAATTTATCTTTTCTTATTGATAATTTGACTGAATGCAGCGAGCTTGAAACAATATTTTGTTGGGGATAAAATGTGGTCTTTGAGATAGATATGACTGAATTGTTCTAGTTTTATAATTTATTTCCCGAATCATTCTGAGCAAGTTATTAATCCTTCTCAGCCTTATTTTTCTTATTTGTAAATTGTGACTGCTGGTCCCAATTTACCTATTTTGTGGTATAGTTGTAAGACTCAAAGTAATAGATAGTGAATACTAAATTGCTTACTAGTTTTACTGGTTTCTATACTTCCCCTCTTGTTCCCCATTGTTTGGTCAAGTGTACATTATCCCTTTCTTTCATCCTATCATCACATAAGTTTATTTCTGGTGAACTACTACTTTCCTTGATGCCCTTTAGCAGATGTGACTTGGGAAGTTTAAATATCTTTTTAGATGGTGCAATCTGAGATGCTACTGAATTCATTTCTTACGAACCATGAAATACACATATCTTTATCTTAACATCATTTAATGTATAGAACAGAGCATATCCCTACAGTTAAAGCTTTTGTAAATGTTCTCTAATCGTATCACTTTTTGATAAGATGTTGAAATAGTTGATAACAGCAAGCTAAGTATTTTCCAGCAGTTATTTAATATTTGCTCCAAGAGATTGTAGTTATATCTTGTACATGGTGCTAGAACAAGTTAAAGAACTTAATACATCTTTGGAACTATCTAACTGTCCTCCCACATCATTCACAAGTCCATTCTGTAAGAAATCATCAGATGACAACAGATCTCTAGGAATGGCCAGTTATTATATTAACATACAGCTCAAACTTTATCAACTTCTTTCAGTTGTAATGGCTTCTTATAACTTCTTCACAGTAACTCAAGTTCTCATCTCAAAAGTTATAGAAAATAATTATCTTACCTCATCTACCTTTGTTAAAAATCATATCAGTTTGTCTTCTTAAATTGTCTTGTTTTCCATTCTCACATTTTGCAAATATTCTTTAAATTAGCTAGTTTTCAAGTAGCATGTTTATTTTTCCCATTTAACACCTCTGAAATTGGGATGCATTCTATAGTTCATGGTGTCTAATGATCTCTGTTCTCCAGGCAGCAGTTAAGGCTAGTATACATGATTATTATGGTGAGAGAGTAGGAAAAACAATGAATCATGTGTATTTAACCACATTCCCAGCTCAGAAATCAAAAGCAGTTCTGCTCTATTTAATAAAGTTGATAAGAAAGAAAGGGAGGTCAGCTTTAAATAAGTACAGAAGAAAATTAAGAACCAGTACCAGTAGATTTTAGTTATTTTGTTTTCTTTTTAAAGAAATGCTGCACTACCAGTATTCTTGATGCTACACAAGATGATATTATGTGAAATATAATGAATATCAATCAGCAACTCTGATACAAAAAGCAGTCTCACCGTAAAGTTTAAGGAATAGCTTAACTTTTTTATTTATTTCCCTCTTTGTATTTGCAAAAGTAATATGTGATAAAAACCAGTGTTTAAGAATAAATCCTTTCAAAAAAGTTGAATATAAAATCTGAGTGGTAAAAAGCATGTGATAGTTTGACAATGCTTTTGCTTTTTCTTTCTTAGAAGTATGTACAGTAATGTTTGCCTTAGATTTGAAGAAATGTGGTGAAGATCGTCTGTATAACCCTCTTTCAAGCATACTTTAGTTTGTTGCCATCCGAAAAATCTGCCAGAACTAGATTTAGTGCCTTTGATCAAATCATTCATTCATTCATGGTTTCTTGTAAATCTTCTTTTTTAAAACCATTTTATTAAGGTATGATTTACATGTTAAAAGCTGTACATATTTAATGTTTACAACTAGATGATTTGGGAACTGAATATATACCTGTGAATCTTATCAAGGCCATAGATATCTGTCACCTCTCAGTTTCCTCCCATCCCCTTTATTATTGTTTGTGTTTATGTGCACAAGTGTATGTATAGTAACCTTATAAAACTCTTAACAAACCTTTATTTGAGGCTTAATGTCTCTTGATACCTCAGGTTTTATCAGGAACATTTTGTAGGTTCTTAGTACTTTTGGACACCAAGCGTGGATTTATATTCTATATCGAACTAGTTTCACATGAAATTTTTTCTCACCTATCTTGTATTGAGGTGTTCAGATTCATATTTTATCCTTGTTGATAGTTAAATTCTGATTGTTATCCAAAAGCCATCCTTTTTAATTTTGACAGCTACGTCTTTATAGCATGTTAATTTAGAACTTTGTCCAACTTGATGTAAAGATTCTTTGGTTTGGGGTTGTTGAGCTCATGATCAGTCCACCTACAGCATCTAGTTCATATATGTCTCTTATCCACAAAGCATAGATTTGTGGTGTTGAAGGATTCTTATATGCTTAAGTTACAAAGTTACTGTTCTTAGGAGAACAGTTATAGCCTTACAATTCTGAGACTTTGTAGAGAAAAATCCTAAAACCTGAATTGATCCATGCTGCTTTTGAGAACTTTTAAAATCTAATTTTCAGTTACCTCCCTACTTGTACTGATGAATTAATTCTAAATGACTTCAGCTGTCATGTGTGTCTATTTTATACTTTTAATTTCTTCATATATTGCTTTGAAATTAATGATCCTACTCACTGTTAATGGCATTGTTAAGTAATTTAAAATGTTTTCGTAATTTTTTCTTTAGAAATCAATGTGGACTGAACATAAATCACCTGATGGAAGGACTTACTACTACAATACTGAAACAAAACAGTCTACTTGGGAGAAACCGGATGATCTTAAAACACCTGCTGAGGTAAAAGTTTGAGATCTGGAAATTAGGGCTTGTTAAGTAAATTGGGTCATTTTTCTGTTTGTTTGTTTTAAGATTTCATGGATATTTGACTACCCAGGTAGTACGGCATTCTCATAGCACCATAACTGGTTTTATTTATTAAATTTTAAGTGTCTCATATTTATATTGTTTCCTTACATGAGGTAATTCACAGAGTTATAATAAATTCTTTATCATGAAGCTGAAGTCTAAGCATAACTAAAAAGATTTTGCTTTTTCCCAAATCTTATGTTTTTCCTTCTTGTATTAGTATTTGAGAAGTCTATTTGTGAAACAAATAGTGGTAATTTTTACCTGTGATGGGGTATAAATGGTGAGACACATAGGATTTGAAATTCACATAGACCTGACTTTGAATCTTTCCTCTACCTCTTAAGGTATATTACCTTAGACAAGTTACTTTCTCTAAATGACAGTGTAAATTTGGAATAATAGTATAAATGTTAATAGCATTATTGTTAAGATTAAATAACATTCAAATTTTAACTTCACTAGTAAGTATGTTGTAATCGGTAGCTTATATACCATCATCTCACAAGCTTTAGAATTGTATAGGTTGATAACATCTATTGAAAACAGTGATGTGAATGATGAGTGGCGCTAAATATATTACTGTTAACTGAAGGTTTTTATTTCCCTTTAGCAACTTTTATCTAAATGCCCCTGGAAGGAATACAAATCTGACTCTGGAAAGCCTTACTATTACAATTCTCAAACAAAGGAATCCCGCTGGGCCAAACCTAAAGAACTTGAGGATCTTGAAGGTAAAACATAAATTCCTAATGTTAATGTTTTATATGTCATTCACACTGAAACAAATAGAATTGTTCAAACAAAGGCCTTATTTTTTTTTTTTTTTAACCTAAATGATTAGAACGTTTAAAATGGTCTAACAGTTTTATGGGCTGTTATTTTCTTGTTGCTCTAGATCTCAGTTCTATAGATTTTAAATAGATTTTTATTTGATTTGATTCCACTGAAACTAGGATACCAGAATACCATTGTTGCTGGAAGTCTTATTACAAAATCAAACCTGCATGGTGAGCTGCTTTGATAATTCATTTTCTGTTATTATTTAACATTTTTAGAGTATGTCACTAATGTTCACTAACCATGATTGAATAAATCTGCAGTGAGAAATCTCTAATTTAAAGAATTTCTTTCATCTAAGGGTTATATTATAAATGAGCTTGTAGCTTTTAAAGTTGTACTTTGATTCTTTTAAAAAAATTATTTACCATTGGAAAATTGAACAAGGACAGTCACGTACAATATTTCTAAATATGGATGTGAGTGTTGGTGCATAAATGGAATATGTGACTTAACCCATTTCGCAGATAGCAGAGAATCTTGAATCCATATTCGTTTACATTTTAATACATTGTAAGAGTATACATTTTATGCTGATTTTGTTTTAGCTCAGCATTGCAAAATAGCTTTTACATTTGTTATGGGAGAATGAAGGTAAGCACAATATCATGCCTCACAAAAGGAGGATTTTTAAACATACTCAACTATTCAAGTACCCTGTAAAATCTAGAAATACTACCTAACAGAACCCAGAACTTAAAAGAACAGATTATGAGTAAGAATTGAGAAATTAGTTCTTTTACTTTCACTTCTAGTAGATCTAGTGTCATAAAATATATCAGGTTAAAAGCAACAGATTGTAGGAGAATGGGGAAAATAATAAAGTAGTCTGCAATGTAGAGTGACATCTGGTGGGAAAGACAAAAAATTCTTAAAGGCACTATGATCTTAAGTATTTACCATTTTTTTGTGCCTGTGTCACCTCATTCGCTTAGATTATATCTTAGATCATCATTTGCATTTGAAATTGTGTTAACTTATTATTAGTAATGATAACCCATTCAGTGTGTTTTGTCAGCCATCTAAATATTTTCAGAAATGATTTAGTTTTGAAATATTTTTGTAGAGTTAAGCTTATATTATCACCTACATGGAGCTGAGACCTCATTCCCTAATGATGCTGAATATTTTTGTTACCTCTAAAGAAAAACTTACTTTAGGCTGAAATCTGAAACATTGTGAATATTTAAAGCTCAATTTAAATTTCTGTACTAGCATTGGCTAATAATAATATTGTAGATAGGTAGATTTACAGTTTATTCATGTAAAGAATATCAAGCTCACTTCTGATATAACCCTACTATAAATAGTTGGTGTGCATAACTATCTATCTACCTGTCAATGCTAGTATTTATGTGCTGGAATTTCAAAACATGAATTCGATTCTGTTTTGAATTTAATGTCTTAAAAAATAGTTTGCTCTTTGGGGAGAATACTGTTTTATTCCAGAATTATGCGGATACTTTTCAGGGAGTTCTTGCAGTAGCCAGCAATCACTGGGGAAGCAGCAATGTGGGGAGAAACTTTCCTTAAAAACTATTTAAATTTGTCTTCATTCTTTATTTACTGCCCTGGAACTTTGGAGCAAGCATTTGCTCTGTAAAACTATTAAATTTTTTTTGAATGGTAAATTAAATCTTATTGTATGAAACTTCTTTAACACCTTTTATAGTTTGTTTTTAGTGATTGTATTTAAAAACTGTAATATGTAACTTTTCTTTTTTCTCTTTAATAGCAATGATCAAAGCTGAAGAAAGCAGGTAAGCAATTTTAGACATTTACAAATTTGATATCTCCTATAATATTCTTGTTTTAACTGTTCGTAAAAATAGTATTTAACACGTTAGACCTGATTGGTGTTTTTGGAGGATTTGGGGGTGGGGAGAGGGGTGTTTACTCAAGATACACAAATGATGAATTACTAGACAGTGATTATTTGAATTTGGACTACATTTATGAATTAAGAAGATTGTTTTAGAAAAGTCTAAAATTTGGTTTGAGTTAATTTGAGAATGAATGATTATCTCTTCCTTTCTTCAGATTTTCCTTTTAATGGGCATAATGGATAAAATTTAAAATTCTTAGAGAAGTTTTGATACAGATCAAATTTTATGGTATAATCCAGTCTGATAAGGCATTTTGTAAATGAAGCAATTATTAGACTTCTAGAAATGCAGTGGTGTCTGAGTGCCTATTGTACATTATCAGGAATGTTTGCTGAAGTAAAAGTACCCTTATAGTTTCTGTGATTTTAATTTGTTTGAATGGCTTAATAATTTGGCATCACTGTCTTTTTTCTCTTTTAATAGTTTCTTGTTCATATAATTGTGATAATTGAAAGCTAGCTTTTATTTTGGCTTTGTGATTGTTGGTAGAGAAATAACCATTTTCTCCTTTTTAAATATATAGTAAGCAAGAGGAGTGCACCACAGCATCAACAGCCCCAGTTCCTACAACAGAAATTCCGACCACAATGAGCACCATGGCTGCTGCAGAAGCAGCAGCTGCTGTCGTTGCAGCAGCCGCCGCTGCCGCAGCAGCCGCCGCTGCAGCCAATGCCAGTTCTTCCACCTCTGCTTCTAATACAGTGGGTGGAACTGTTCCGGCTGTTCCTGAGCCTGAAGTTACTTCAATTGTTGCTACTGTTGTAGATAATGAAAACACAGTAACAATTTCAACTGAGGAACAAGCACAACTTACTAGTACCCCTGCTGTTCAGGATCAAAGTGTTGAAGTGTCTAGTAATGCTGGAGAAGAAACATCAAAGCAGGAAACCTTAGCTGAGTAAGTTTAGTAACTTGTTTTCTGCAAATCAGTACTAGACAAAAAATTGCCAGTTTAGTCAGTGGCCATTAAGTGTTAATTTTTTGAGAATCAAAACAATCTTTAGATAATGGATCATTTTGAGTCTGAATTTTGTGGGGTCATGCTATCAAACTTTTGTAAAACTAATCTCCAGAAGGTTTAGGAAGCAGAGGTGGGGGATAGGGTGAGGCACAGATTTAAAGGGATGCCAAATACTTTAGTAATTAAGATACATCATACCTTAGTGCAGTATTTTAAAATCAGTGCAAAAAGTCCATGATTAATAAAATATAAAAAGTTTAAATACAAATCCGTATTACTGATATTCTTTATTTTGCCTCAGTCTCAAACACGGCTTACAGCACTGCAAGGAAATGTGCTATAGTTTGATGTTAAATGAACAAGCAAAATTAAGTAGATGAAAATAAAGATAACACTTAGCAGGATGTAGGAAAACTGTTAGATTAAATTGATACAACTTTTTTAATAAAACAAAATAGCTGAATCTCTCAGTTTACAGTTTGCAAGTACTTACATACCTGTACAGTTATAAAAAGTAACCTTGAGATATGCTTCTCGACTTTAATGATGTCCACATACATAAACATTAACCATGATATCAGTATTTAAACATGATCACTCATCTTAATATTTAAGCATATTGATTTCATCTCCCCACCCCTTTTTGTAAATCTTTTGTTTTTCTTATATACATTTCTCAGTGAAAATAGCTTTATAATTTTCTGATGTTTAGAAGTTTTAAAAAATTATGGTATATTTGAAGACATAAGAGTAATTGTTAATATTTATATTCTGCTTTTAAAATATATGTATATTTATGAGAGACCCCTTCCACATTATAGAGATACCCATGTTGAATGATGGCATGTTAATTATTTACATATACATTAAGTTCTCTACTCATAGATATGTAGGTATTTTGGAGTATGTTGTTTTGCATCTTTATACTTACTGCATTTTTTCCACAATAATATGTTTTTCATAGTTTTAACAATTTTTTTTCAAATGTTTTCTTATTATAGTGCCTGAGTCATCCTAATTAGCATTTGATTTTAATTACTGTAATATAGATTATTTGCAAGTGTTAATTTTTGCCTGAGTCCTTTATAATATTTTTGACAATTTTAAATAAATTTATCAAAGTAAGTGTACTTGATTCAGAGCATATATGAAAATATTTATTTACTTAT